CTCCAAGAGTTCCATGAAGAGAACCGAAAATTGGCTTACAATTGGTCTTGTAAAGCAACCGAAAGCGGCGACAGCCAAAAGTACTAAGTAAATCAAACGTCAAGTGGCACACCGAGCAAAAAAAAAAAACTACAAAAAAAGAACAAACACGTTACGGCAATTAAAAGCCAAACGGAATACAAGAAATTCAACGACAAAAAGCATTAAAAAAAAAAACCAGAATGAATGGGAAGGCATCTTTGGGGCCGAAGATTTTGATGCCCTCAAGTAGAGTATGAAAAAAATATATGTTAAAGACATCCCTTTGAACGGTAAGGAGTAAGGCATGGTTTACCGATTTGTTTGTTTGGTTTGGGAGATTTCAAAAGCAGCATGTCTCATGCAGCGAAAGGAAGAAAATGTTGTATAATAAAATAAAGAAAAAGTTGCTGGTGTATGGCCGAATGCTGGTAAATTTTCTTAAGGGGTATACAAAATGCCGCACACAAAAATGGAATAAGAAAAGAAAAGAACAAAAAAACCCTCCATTGGATGTCGTCGCTGTTGTTGGCATGTCAATAGACCAATAGAAAAAAAGAAGAAGAAAAACAGCAGAAGAGAAATATCAAAGAAGAGGCTTAGAAACCGCAGTATTTCGACGTTTCTTAGCTGCATTGACACTTGGCCCAATATAAATTACACAAGAAGAATAAATTGCATGAAGATGACAACTTGAGGTCCGTTCGTGAGTCAAACAGATGAAATGCAAATATCTGAATTTTTGATTCAGGGCCTAAAAACTAATCACAAGATTGGGTTATGAACTCTTTTTAAATATTTTTCCCATATGAACTAACTGGAGCTAATGTAAAAATAAAACTTTTTTCACCACACACTTTTCTGCGTTACCCCCTATCTACTTACTTGCTTACTTACTCCCTTATTATTTCTATTTTGCTGATTCAAGCTTTATACTGGGTATTCTGGCTTAATTTAAAGCATTGGTACTACGTAAATTTTTGTACCCGTACTCAAAAAGAGTTAAGGGGTATATTAGATTTGTGGTATAAGTGGATGTGTGCAACGAAGAGAAATACAATTTTTTCTTTATTCTACATAAATCATAAGCTCAAAAATGTATATACTGACTGAGTACGGTTATACAAGTAGAGTCGCGTCCCCAGAAGTGACTCAGACGTTCCTTCTCGTTCTATATGAGAAGCTCTAGTAATTTTACTTCAACTTTTTTTTTTGCTGCCTCTGATACTGTCATCAGTGTAATTTTATTAGAAGTAGTTATTACTAAAGTAGTGACATTTGAGTCAAAATAGTTTCTGCACGTATATTATTGAAAAGTTACGGATCATCGAGGGTAGTTTTAATTATTTTTTATTATCTATTTCATAATCAATGTAAGATTACCAAAATCTAAATTTGCAATATATTAAAAATATTAAATATTGAATATTAAAAATATTAAATATTAAATATTTAAAAAATATTAAATATTATATATAAAAAATATTAAATATTAAATAATAATAAAGATATTAAAAATATTAAATATTAAAAATTCCAAAGCAACTATTTTTGTAATTGATATAAAAAAGAAATATCCCTATATTTATTTGTGATTGAGAACGAACAGCGGACAATGGACAGCTGAAGTTTATCCTGATCACAAGTTTTACAGTGCGGCTAAGGAGTAAGGCAACAAATCAGAGCGTTCAATGCAATCATGTGATTGATATTGATTTCTGAAATAGTTGGACGAATGGTCGAATTTTTGTAAGCTGAAATAAACCACAGCAAAGTGAATTCCCATGTGCAATAACGAGTATGCGCGCATGCACGAGTATTTGTATTTTTCTTTACTGAGAAGAACGTTTTTATGCACACATATGGGTAGCAATAAAAGTGCCCCTTTCATCGCTATGCAACACAAGAACCACAAGCCACGCGTGTCACGCACTCATCGCTGCAAAAGGAAAAAAAGGAAATTCTACAATTATGCTCCGGCTTGACCACAGGCATGGACACTCTGCATGCCAAATGCCAGCCAGCCAGCCAGAGAGCCAACCAACCAAACGGACGGAGTCCAGACGGCAGGGGCAGAGATGAAAAACTTTTCCACTTTGCAACTATTTCAAAAGTGAAACGAAACTTGTGGCCCACTTAGCCGGCTATACGAGTATGTGCGGACGGGCGGGCGGGCGGTTGGGCGTCCGTCTTCTCCTCCTCCACGAAGCCAGTCCGTTTTTGTGTCAACGCTCGTCCTCGGCACTGTCGATTTCCAATACGGTTCGTGTCTTTGCCTGCTGCATGATTTATGATTTTTACCAAAAAGTATTTGCGGCTTGTGCCCCTAAAACCCCCCACCCAAAGCCCAAAGCCCAAAGCACAGAGTCCGAATCGGAATCCGGAGACCGGAGAGCAGAGTCAGTGCCAGAAGCGTTCAAAGTTGTCTGCTCAAATCATTTTAATTGAAAATTACACATGAGCGAAGCCGAAGAACTGCCAAAGAAATACAAAAAAAAAAAAAAAACCAAAAAAAAAAAATGAAAATGAAATGAAACCCACATTGCAAAAACCTTTGACCAAACCGAAGTCTGTTTGCTCTGCGATATTTTTGGGAACTACATATTCAGGGGTAGAACGAATCCATTTAAATTGATATCCGTGAATGAATGAATAATGCTACTTACATGTATTTTTGTATGCCTCATAATTATTCCCTTATGTCTATTGTGTTTTATATTATGTATCTGTGATATGATATATTCAACGAAACCCGTGTGAAAAACCCGCTCTGGCAGTGCAGCGAAATGTATCCGACCAGAGTACCAGTACCCAAAGTGGAGCCAAGGGCGCAGCATGGTGATGTGTGTGTGTGTGTGTGTGTGTGTGTGTGTGTGTGGAGGGAGCAACACATGTCCTTGGTTCTGGCACTGGCCACCCGGTTTCCGCCTCTAAAGGTTTCGCGGGTCTTGGCCGGGTGGCTTGGCATCGACTTGACTGGATTGTGTTTTGGCCTGGACTGGCGCGGGACCGGGTCTGGGTCTGGGTCTGGACTGGCACATGGCACGTTTTGTACGTACCGGAAATGTCCATTCACTTGCATATTAACAAAGTTCCGCACACAAACACAGCAGCAGCAGAGTCTCCTGCCCCTTGACCTATGCATATACTTGGGCAGTACTTAATAAACTCCCGGGAATCGGACAGACATGCCCACAAAGAGAGAGACAGAGAGAGAGAGAGAGAAGCAACTGAGTTGCTCGTACATCATAGAGTCCATATCCTTGCCAGGGGCCGCCGACTGCTGTGGCTGTGGCTGTGGCTCCTCGCTCTACACGGTTCTGGTTGTGGGTCTGTGTTTGGGTTTGGGGGTCTGACTTGTGGGTCTGTGGGTTGGTTGGGTAACAGGAAAGTATTTCGAAGGCACCGGAAACCGGAAGCAAGCAATAATTCAAATGAATTTCAAATCAAATCATTACAAAACATTTACAAAGTATGCGCCAAAGCGCTGCACAAAACCGCACCACAGGGAAAGGAAATGCCATGGGGAAAGAAAGTGGCAGGAGAACTTCAACTTCAACTTTGACTTTTTTCTCCAGCTGCAGGTGGGCCGCGCGCGCCCATAAACCCATATACCAATTTCTCCACCCAACTTGGCCTCACAGTGATTAATTTCTATTATTATGACACTGATTAGGTCCACTTACAGGCTCATTACAGTCATGAGCACATAATGCACAGCCCGGGACACGTGACGGTGATTTAGAGGAAGACAACCAGTCCCAGTCGCAGTCGCAGTCCGAGCAAGCGATAGGGTACCCGCGAGGGTACTGCGTTGCTGTACGGATAGCGGACATTTATCAAGACATTGACCGCCGCATGCAGTGCCGTCGACCGTTTGTCTTGCACTTGACCAGGGCCCAACCCCAGCCCAGCCCAGCCCAGACCCTCGGGGTGGTGGTGTGCGCAGGCACCTAAGCACAGACCCGTACACGGCCTCCCCTCCGACTCATGCCCGGGGCACTGGGCTGAGGCCCTGAACATGAACACCAGTTGGCCCATAAATTAAGGCCCTGGGACATGGCACTACACTACACCAATTTTGAGGCTGCTGGAGCAGGTGGTGTGCCGGCATTCCCACTGTAAATGGAATTTAAATATTACGAGAACTCTGTAGAATTAAAGCTATCGAATGGTTATGCTATATGTCCTTATAGTAATTAGGAAATGCATTTAACAAATTCCAAAATTAATTTTTTATTTCCGAGTCAGTTGTTCGCCTCGAGCTGGTATAAAGATTTCCCACAATTCCATAAAACTTCATAATTTAAATTTTTCTTAGACAAATTGAATTAAAACGTACACACCATTTTAACATGAATCCACGAGCATTTGAATGCTGTTTTAAAATGTCAAAAAAAAAGTACCTCGATAGACCAGAGACAATATCTGAATAAATAATATTTTAGTTGCTTTCAGTCAGAAAGACCTTTGGCAGTAGAACATTGCTGGACACTGGACAGCTGTAATACCCTCAGTCTGATGTCCCCAGAGCATGATGGAATCCAAGTTAAAAAATATTTTGGGTCAGTGTTCGCAGCAAAGTGAAAAATCCTCGGAGCAATTAAAATTAGCTCATGCCAAAATAATAGTCGAATTTATTATTCAAAAGCTGTTTTCGAATGGTAGATGTTTGGTCATCAAATCAAAAAGTTCCAATGGGTGTGCAATCCGTGTGCCTGGTTTAAATAATTATCCAAGGCAGAGACTTTTCCCAAATAATCGCTTGAAGTAAACGCGCCGACAAATGTGTTGCACAGTGTAATTTGCTTGCATTCAATTATTTAAATAAATAAATTAATGTTGCCTCTTGCAGGGTAATAATAATAATACAAAAAAAAAAATGGTTTTACTCAAAACAAAAAAAAAAAAACCGACCTAGGCGATGGCTTAACTAAGTGAGGGGAGTGTTGAAGGACCGGAACTGGAAGTGGGAAATGGAATCAACCGCGATTGGGCCGTACGACCATCACCTGGGCCTTCTTCTTGCCCCGCTTGTTGCCACGACGCCGGCGTCGTTGCAGATTGTTGTTGTTGACGCTGCCGCGTCGCTTATTGACGCGCCGGCGATTGGGCACACGACGTCGAATGTTGTTGTTGTTGCCAGGACGACGACGCGACGAAAGGGCACCCTCGGCCACGATCTGGGGCAGTAGATCGGCGATGGGTGAAGCCCCATAGATGGCCTGATTAATGGCCGAATTGGTGATCGTCGAGCCCGACGATGACGACGACGACGAGGAGCTGCCACCCAAATTCACATAGATGGCACCATTAGTGGTGGTTGTGACCAGCCCACTGCCGGTGGTGGCAGTGCCGGTGCCACTCACGGAGGTGCCAGTGACGAGGCCCGTACCAGTGGCTGTGCTGGTGCCTGTGCCTGTGCTGCTCGGACGCAGCTGCTCCAGCATATCCTGCTTGTTCGTGATGTACTGATTCAGGGCAGAGTTGAAGCCAGTGCTGCTGCTGGTCGAGCTGCTGCTGCTGGTGAGGCCCGATGCCAGGAACCGCAGCTGTCCGTTCTCATTGCCATCCTTCACAAAGATACCCGCCAGACGCGACTCATCCAGATCGGGCGCCGCCTCAGCCTCAACCTCCTCCAGCTCCACATCGGCTGGAATTTTGGCAACGGGAGATGGAGATGGTGCCGCCATGGCCGCCGCCAACAGACACAAAATGTAAATTTTGTACATCATTTTGGGGGAATTGCTCTGCGTCGACTGCGTATCGTTGGCCAGATCATGGGGGCTTATATACCGCTCAATGAGTTGACGGAAATTATGGTTCATTCAATGCATGGATTCATGGGCTCATGGATTGTTTTTTTATTCGCGCTTTCTTATTTCTGGTGGTCATGTGTGATAGAATTCTCGCCATCTGCCAGTTGCCCATCGCAAGCAAATACGAATATGATTTTCATTTTGGCATTTTTAGAAAGCACCGCATGGCCCCAGGGCCTATCCATGGCCGGTGTGTGATGACCATGCGATTGCTAAGCGTGTCAAGAAGTACTTTTATCCAATTGTTTGCCAAGATCGTGAACCTCAAGAGGGGCCCACAGCAGACCCACAGAGACCCATGGCCAGAGCCGCACTTTAATTAAAATTTAAAATCAGAAACAGGAGAAATTTCTATACAGAAGATGCAACTTCTTCTGTACGGTGGGTTGTTTTTTTTTTGCCACTGTGGGAATAGTTTGTCAGTTCTGTAGTGACACGAAGGTCAAGTAACATCCGCAATTTAGTGTATGTGGTACTAAAAGTGGCTTAAAAGAATAAACATTTAATATATAGTTAAGGTTTGAGAAAAGCAGAAGTGATTTTGTTTATTTCGTGCCTCTTGTGATGAAAATTAACGCAATTGCGACATGCCCACACGCACATTTTCGTTATCTTTTTCGATACGTCGGCCTGTTTTTTCTGCTCTACTATTTAGCATGGTCATTGCTTTTGCATTTGACGTCTCAAAGGTATTTTTCACTAAAACACTATCACCATATCAGTAGTTTCCAGCGGTCTGTGGTCAGTGTGCCACAGATGTTGCCCCTGTCGGGTTGTGCTGCTCAATTTTTCGCCTAAGTTGGCCAACACCGACAGTTTTTGGGGCCGAATGCCTGGAGGGGTGGTGGGGCGTGGCTGTTGAAATAAATTTCACTTACGCCAACGCCAAGGCACACACTTGCCAGGAAACGGGCCCGTGCCTGTACCCAGAATGGGAGCTATCTCCGAGTGTCTGTCGCACAGTTCGCGGTTCGTCGTTTACTTGGCAATGCAATTACAGACGCTAACCGCGCGTGAAAACAGCAGCAGCAGCAGCAAAAGCAACAACAACAGCAACACTCGCCCCTGATACACTTTTGCCCCCCAACCAACCCACATCCAATCTCCCCAGCAGCCAGCATACCCTGGTAGAGGGCATTCCCATTCAGAGTTGCCATTCAGATATTGCAAATGAAATGTCTGCCTGTCCTGCACTTCGTAAGCTTGGAGGATCCCATTCCCTGTTTGAAATTATTGATGGCTCTTTATGTCTGCTGAAAGCAGCAATAATAATGAAATTTCTAGGCAGCTAACGCTCTCATTCCGTTCGTTCGATTTTTTGGCTTCTCTGACCAATCGGAGAATCACTTTCCATGCCGCAGCTTCATACGTCATCTGTGTGCCTATATAAATATGTGTCCTCGACGGCCTATATAAATATGTGTCCTATAATTTCATATGCAATATTATGGAGCATTAAATTTTTGCAAAAATATGTGAAGACTGACCTGCAGAAATTATCCTGTGAAGTATTTTATAGGGGATTCATAACGAGACATTTTTTAATTGATTAGCATTTAGAGTTGCAGTTTTTGCAAGACTGTGATCTGATTTACGCCAGAAGGTTTTCAAAATTCGAACAAGATTTATAATATGCAATTCTCTATATTTTTTGGCTTGGAATTTCTTAATACTTTTTCGAGTTTCGTATTTAAACAGGAGTTGTCTTCAAGGGTACTGGATGTCTCGATGCCGCTTGAGGCTTCCTTTGCTTCCTGCTTTGCTCTCACGTTGCTTTTGCTGCCACTGAGCGGCTTAAAGCGACGCAATGACAATTAACAACAGGCGACAAAACGACAAAACGACAACGAATGAAGGTGAGAGAGAGAGAGAGAGAGAGAGCGAGGCGGCCACTGGCGGAGGCAGGCAGGCAGTTGTGGGTGGGCTGAGTCGGAAGAAGATGCCATATCAATGACAGCGACAGACAAACGTGAAAATGCAGAGTGGATGGGTGTGGATGGGGAGGGTTTGGGGGAAAAAACTTCAACTCAGGATTCTCGAACCTGACACCGCAAGAGGCATTCAGAAAATACTCTGCTCATTCCCTGCATATACCCGCGCGCGCGCCGCATAACACACTTACGCATATTAACACAGGCTTGAATTTTTCAGTTTTTCCCTCAGCTTTGCCCCCGGAAAACCTCAAACCAACGGCAGCCCAGCCCAGCCCAGCAACCCCAACCCCAACAAACACACACACACACTTCACTTAATTTTCATTTTCACGTGCAATTGAAGTGCAAAATGCGTTTGGCAATAGAATTGCCAGCCAAAGTTTTTCCTTTTGCCCTAGTTTTTCCTTTTTTCCCCTTCCAAAAACCGACCACAATACAAAACTCAGTTCAGTTTTTCCCACTTTTCCACTCGCTCTCTCTCTCTCTGTCCCTATTTTTTCCTGGATTTTGGGTTTGGGTTTCGGTTTTGAGAACAATTTTTGTAAGTGAAATTTCAATGACATTTTAATGGAAATTGCAAATGAATGAGGGGGCCAAGAAAGCACGAAGAAAACTCTGGCAACGGTTAGCTCAACTCCTTCTGTGGATACAAAGTTGCATAATTGATGCCGAACATTTTTTTTTTGGATTTTTCTGGGTGCCAAATAATTGTATTGGAAATGGCGAACAAAAGAGGCACTTAGTTGCAATCTAAAAGTAATCAAAAACCAAAAGAAAACAATCATATGCAGAAAAAATTAGCGAATGTAGAGAATGTAGGCAAATAAATAAATTCTATTATTTACTTTAGCCCAGTAGTCAGATCAGAACAAATGTTGCCTAGAGTACCATATATATTTTGCTAGTTGCAGTGTGACCAGGCTCTGTGCAGGCTCAACGGTTACACTGCACAGTCAGCTGTTTTTTGTTTACAAATTTGTTTAAAGTAAACAAAGCCTATGAAATGCACTTCTCTGGCTGGGGTTGCTCTTGCCCAGGCATATCCTGGGCCTCCAATTATTTTATTGCCAATGGAACGTATCGGGCTATCAACAGCAGCAGCAGGGGGGACATGGAAATGAACGCAAGTAATTTAATGTAACACTGAGGCATGTGCCCCTTGACTATGCCACATCTGCGGTAGCGTCGGTAGATATATGTAGTTCAAGCCAATAAATGCAATTGTAAGTACTTGGTGTTAGCCCAACAAAAAACAGTAAGCAAAACGCCTCTGAAAACCTCTAACGAAAACCGTTACTACCTCCCCCGTCATTAAGTATTTTAGCAGCGTTAAACCTCATCTGCGCTGGATAAGTCCAAGGGCAAGAAATGTTAGGGTATTGTATTTACATACACTGCGTGGGATCAGTGGCAGGCAGCGTGTGCCTGATTCGGGATTAACTTAAGCAAACATAAAAGTCCTTTGTTGTCTGCGGTGGATTAGTAATAATTATAATTATCTGTACACACGTCGTGTAAATGGGCAATAAAATAAAAGAATACATCTCAGGTAGCTGTAACGGCGGACATCGTCCTTCAACGCTCGTTTTCCCTGCACTAAAATCAACAGAAACCAAAACCTTGTCTATTGACTTTTGAATACCACGAACTGGTTAGGTAAAGTTATTTTTGTTTGTGCTAACCAGCACAGATGTGGTTTAATGGTAATTATATATATAAAATGTCCATCGGCTGAGAAATTGTAAAATAATTGTGAAGAACTGCGAATCGCACACCTACGCTGTTTTCCGGGAAACATTTCCACTGCACGTGTTTACGTTGAGCTTCGTTTGATTCACATAACTCACGTTCATAGCATAGCACATAATTACATTACAGCTTAAGCAGTGCTTTTGCTTTCACTACACAAATAAAAACAAACCAAAACAAACAAAACAAAAAACACAAATAAAATCAAATATTTGTATGTGCTTAGAAGAGTTACGCGGATTAAGAGATGACATTCTGCATAGAGATGACAAGCATAGTTATCGATACAATTATGTAAATAAATATGACTGCAAGCAGGATCGCGGTATTGAAACATTAATCTTATTAATAATATATTTAAATGGAGAAAAATTCTTAATTCAATATAAAAATCCAGACAATTGTTATACTTAAAATAACAGAACAGAAATTCATTTAAAAGGTAAAGGCCTGTCTCCAGCACCGCGGAAAATTCCTGCCAAAAATTTGCAAGTTATTCCGTGAGGGTGTGGCACATAGCTGAAACAGCTGTGTTTTGTAAACAGAGTCAGTTGTGAAATTCAATTGAAATTAAAAAAGAACAAAAAAATGCACTCTGACGATGAAGTGCTGGTGGCGGCATATATTGCTGCACAACAAGAATAATATTTTGCCTTCATCTTGCACCATTCACTTCGTGAATAATTGTTGAATTTTTTGTTTGTACCCACGAAATTTCCAGTCTTCGATATAATAAACAAAACAAAGCTCTATTCTCAATTTGTATTGTGAAATAATGGACCAGTAATCAAATATTAAAATAAATGAGCGATTAACGCTTTTGAAATTTTAAAGGCATTTATTTAATATTCAATTAGTGGAAATAGTTTGTCATTTTAATTCCTGAATTCAATCAACTGAAAAACAGATATTGTTTCTGGAAACTTTCATGTTTTTCTGAGAACCATCAGTTTGAAGGAAAACATTATCCCGTTTTGGTACGTGATATTCCAATTCCGTTGTACCTTCAAAACTTTTTCAACTTTTCTTCACAGAATTCTTGAAAATCAGAGAAAAGATCTCTAGGAGATCTCTCAAGATTCAAAATCCACTGGAAAAATGTTCTATATCCAAATCAGATTGTCAACATGGTCTAGCACGTGATATCAATGCATTAACGGAAGTGTTTCAATTGTCTACTCCCTGTATATG